ATAGTCTAAAAACATGCATGTTAGGTTGATGTGTCATGGCTGTCTGTCTGCGTTGCCCCTGTGACAGACTGGCAACCTGCCCAGGTTTACCCTAAGCCACCTGGGAAGGCTCCAGCTGGCTGCAAAAATTAATTTAACTTATATTTTTATAGGGATAAGTATGTTACGTGAACTGTGCCACATTGAATGGCATTTATAGCCTTAACTAGTTTGCAAACACATACAGAAAAATATCAATAACATAAAAAGAAAATGATTTCCATAACAGCCCCTCACATCTTCCAGTAGATGACAATCCATAAATAATCATTACTTTTCATATGGATTTATTTCTCTTTTATTATTTTAGCCGTCATCTTCAAATTGAATCATGTTATCTTCATATCTTATTTACTTTTGCTCTTGTATCGCTCTGTCATCATTTTTTAGGTTATGAACAACAGACTGTAGTGGTGTAAGTTTGAATTGTGCTGTTTTGATTTCATTTTTTAAACTTTGCTTTAATTTCCCCGCACAACGTCTGTGTGTACAAAAGTTCTTTCTATATGAAACTGCCTGGCCTTATATTTGAATAACAGTTGTTTTTGTTTATTTCACATAAATGAGAAAAATAAAAATTTCTTTTGAATATTACAAGTTCAGTCATCTTTCTTTAGTGCAAACACACACACATATACCCCGGAAACTAGCCTTTCCAGAAGCCTCTTAAAAATATCTCTGTTGGGGGGCTAAAGTACTTGAAGAATCTCCACAACATGTCAGAGATCAGACTCTGTGACTGGTTATCTAGTTTTCTTTTAGTGTATCTTTGTTAATGGGGCACTGCAAACACAGAGAGGTTCCTGGCACCACTGAGTCTAGACTAGGATCCCTCCCTGCTCTTTCCCTTTTCTTTCACCTCATGCCCTAATTACCTGCTAAGCCCACCAAGAACACTTTAATATTCATAGAGAATAGTGGATCTGCATATCAGGCTGGAGAATTAGGCCCCAGTGTTTCATTTGCCACCTACATGTGCTTCATTTGATATGCGAGCAGTAAGCCTAACACAAAGCCTAATATTCTCACTGAGGTCTTTCATCGTGGTAGAGTTAATAAACTCTGGGCTAAAAGGGTTTGGGATGAAAGGGTTAGCACCGCTGTGCTGATTATTCACTCATTACATGTGAGTAAACAACATCAGAGCTAATGTGGATTAAGAGAAGGAAGATCCTCTTTATCACCGGCCTGGGAGGGAAGAAGACAGTTGACAGCTGGGGAAAATCTGCAGAAGTTCAAAATGAAAAAGAAATTAATGAATAAAAAGTGAATACAGAGTTGAAGCAAGTTCTGTCAAAAGAAAAATTATATATATATATATACATATATATATACGTATATATATATGTATATATACATATATATAGCACCTTTGTGTGCTTGTGCTAAAAAAGTAATTTGTATGTAACAAGAGCACTGGACCAGCTGGTAGTTCATTCGATATGTAACAGAAACACATGAATGACTAATAAAACATATATAAATCCAAACATATATAAATGCAACGTTTCTCCTACTGAAAATGCTACGTCCAGATGAACAGAATCAACTTTTGGAGATTTACTTAACTGGATGACTGAGCATGCATCAAGACATAAATGCAATGTTGTTTTTAACGGTGACTCCTGGCACAGGGTCAAAGGTCACTGTAGTCTTTAGTTGCTTACACTATGTCTTTCATCAGAAATATGTACAAAACAAAAAACATACAAATGTAAATGTAAAAAAAGTGTTTTCTTTGAATTAAGGTGGCTGTTTTTCTTGGGGAAGTTTGTTGGTGGGTGCTGTGCGAAACGGGTTCGCACTTCCTAGACATAGGTTTCACCTCTGCTGCAGAAAAGGAGACAAATGTGACGCGCTGGTTTGTGGGAACACTGCTCAGGACTCAGATCCATGGTTCATGAGTGAAAACAAACCCACCAATGGGCAATTAGTGAAGGGATGTGATTGCGTGAATATTATGTGTTTGTAGTTATAGGTGTTATTGAGCATAATTAAGATGAAGTTCAGATATATACTGCACAGCAACATGAAAAAAAATATCCACAATAATATCATACCTGTTTTTATTGTCTTGGCATTACTTCTTGATGATCCACAATTTTACCTTCCAGAAGCACTGAGTACTGCTGCTGTCCAAACAGCTCAAGGTGCAAAATCCTCACACCTCACAGCTGCCCAGACACACTTCTTCCAGCCTGACCTCTGTTACCACATGCCAGAACTAAAAACAGTTAGTAATACACACAACAGCTACATCATCAGCATTTTTTTTTAAGTAGGATCATATTTTGAATGGTCATTCAGTGAGCATCCATGAAGCAGAAATGCTGCAAGTGAACATTTTTCCTTTTGTGGAGAAATTGAGATGCGTTTTTGGTAACATACACATTTGCTGCTTCCAATCGGTGCCTTTGGGTTTTTTAATAAAATTCTAAGATTCAAAGACGAACTTGTGACCCAGGTACAACCCCAGTCGTGCCAGGGTCATGTTCCCAGGCTGTGGGAGCATATAGTGTGAACCTGTATAGTTTATAATGACCACGCAAGCTGCCAGGTTACACCTTGTGCTGAAGCATGCCAGATTCCCATGGGACCCCCTAGCCTAGGTGTCATCTGTGGTCCCAGAGTTTCTCAGGACCAGAGGTGGCTGTCAGAGGTGCAACCTCACACCTCCCACCACATATATGGAGCAGCCTCCATGTACCTCCTCAGTATCCTCTGCCTGCCTTACCAGCAACATACTAACAGCTGACTTCTCAAAGAAGACCCTACAGCAGCCACAATGGAGGTATCCTACTTTTCTCCTCTCCCACTCCAGGAGAACTCTTTCCTCTTTGACTGCGAATCTCTGTTAGAAAAATCTCTGGCTTCTGATCCTGCCTCAGACGCTGGTTACAGCAGCACTGGCAACAGCCTGTCTCCTACTTCCTCTGTGGACTCCTTCTGCTTCTCCCCTACTTCCCTCCTAACATTTGGAAGTGAACAAGATCCCTTGGACTGCTTAATCTTTAATACCCCTGCAGCACCTCATCTCACTCACCAGACTCCACTCTGCTCCAAATCCTCTTCTGCAACAAAGAAGTCCAGATCCAGGTACCCGGGTAAAAAGCGCCAGACTGCCAGCGAGAGGGAGAAGCTGAGGATGAGGGATTTGACCAAGGCTCTGCATCACCTCAGATCATACCTCCCACATTCAGTGGCACCAGCCGGCCAGACTCTGACCAAGATTGAGATTCTGCGCCTCACCATTCGCTACATCTCTTTCCTGTCAGCCCAACTGGGCCTCAGCGAGGAAGTGCTGGAGCAGAAGAAATCCTCAAACTCAGTGGAGCATACCCAAACCTTCAACAATTTCCTGGGTCAGCCAGCAGCCAGTTACAGTCCCGAAGAGCCAAGCTGTAACACCATGAGCAAAGCCCAGCAGCCCTTTCTGCAGAATTCATATCAGGTATGTTAATATAATAAACATAACA